TATCATTTTTGTACACAAACAGTGAACACATTGAGAGAGAAATTAGGGAAATGTACTTTTCACAATAACATTAATAATTAATTATTAATGATTATAATAAATAATAATTAATAAAAATAAATACTTAGGAATTAATCTAAGAAAGAATGTAAAAGATTTATACAGTTGAAATTATGGTACTCTAAGAAAAGAGATAGTAGATGATTTGAGAAGATAGAAGAATATTCCATGATCCTGGATAGAACCAAGTGGAGGGATGACTTTATTAACTGTGATTTGAAACATATAGAAATAAGATTCTGATGCTGCTTGGCATAATGAAGTTTTCAAATAGCAAATAATATTTGAATGTGGCATTGAATATTAAGAATGAGTTTTCCCAACTGAAAAGGCTTAAAAGAATAGAAGAAAAATGCAACAGAGCTTGAGATAGTTGAATAGGAAAGAGAATTTTCCCCTTCAAAAGCACATATTAGCTTACTACTCTGGCATGAAGACCAAACAATGTTGTGGCTAATTCCATCTGGCAAATTCCTTGACTTGATCATTTATATTGGGAAAACCAAGATGAAAGAACATTTTATTTTGTCTTTGACCCTTCTTATATCTCGTCTTCTCATAATTTCTTTATCACTGTCTTTGCTTTCTATCACATTGCTGTCTGTATTAGGATAACAAAAGTCTCATGCTAAGCCCACTAGACAAAAAAAGAAAAAGAAAAAAAAGACATGCAAAGGGGTGGCTATTAAAACCAAAGATGGGGGCCAGGGAGATTTCTCAGGGGAATAAGTGCTTCCCTGACAACCACAAGGGCCTGAGTTCAATCCCTGGTTCAAAAAAAAAAAAAAAAAAAAACCATGTTCTGTAAGTTAATAAGAGTTCAGACTTGACAGTCACTGTTGGCTGTGTCAGAGATTGAAATACAAATTAAATTTTTCTAACACTGAACAACAATAGTGCTCTTTATGTGTTTTAAATTCTTACTGTCTATGACAGTTTCTCTTTATCCAGTTCAAGTCAAAGTCATACAGAAAGACTTTGGAGATGATACAACTCTGTTATACCCTGACTCATCAGTAAGAGAAATGACATAAGTTCTATCCAGAAGTCCTTTTACTCTAATAACTTTTTTGTCTTTCAGATGTTCGCAAGATGTCACCTGAAGTGTTGTACTCACAAATCTATGAATGTAATACACCATATCAATAGATCCAGAACCAAAAGACACATGATCATCTCAGTAGGTGCAAAAAAGGTTTTTGACAAAGTTGAGCACTCATTCATTATCCAAGACCTTCAGAAAATTGGAATTGATGCCCTGTACCTTAATCTGATGAAAGCCATTTATAACAAACCAATGGTCAACATCATTCTACATGGAGAAAAACTGACATCTTTTAATCTCAACTCAGGTACAAGACAAGGATGTCCACTATCACCACTGCTGCTCAATATAGTTCTGTAATAATTAGCTAGAGCCATTAGACAACAGAGAGAGAGAAAGGGGGGTGGAATAAGAATAGGTAAAGAAATTAGACTACAATTATTTGAAGATGACATGACAATATATTTGGAAGATACAAAAAACTCAACCCAAAACTCCTAGAATTAATAAAAAAAAATTTAGTAGCATAGCAGGGTACAAAGTCAACACCCAAAAATCAATAGTATTCCTGTACACTGATAACAAAAACACTGAATGAGAAATTACAGTGACAATATCCTTCATACCAGCCTAAAAAATGAAATTCTTAGGAATTAATCTAACAAAGGAAGTAAAAGATCTGTACAATGAAAATTAAAACAGTCTGGAAAAAGAGAATGTAGAAGATTTCATAAAATGATACTCCCTGCTCTTGTACAGGAAGAACTAACATTGTGAAAAGAATCATACTTTCAAAATTGTGATACAGATTTAATGCAATCCTGATCAAAATGTCATCAGCATTCCTTGAAAATGTAGAGAAAACATTTTTAAAATGCATTTTAAACCATAAAAGACCTAGAATAGGAAAGTGAATCCTGGGAAAAAAGACAAGGCAGGAGGCGTCACAATCCCTGACTGGAAATTATACTATAAAGACACTGTGATAAAATCAGCATGGCTGATTTTAGATGACCAGATAGAAGATGAAGACACAACTACAAACACACTCAGCCACCTTATTTTGGACACAGGAATCAAACTGGTTCATTGGAAGAAAGATAGCCTCTTTAAAAAATGATGCTGGGAAAAGTGAATTTCCATGTGCCAAAAACTAAAACTAGATCCAGTTCTATCACCATGCTCTAAATTAAAGTTAAAATTGACTAAAAATCTAAATGTTAAAACAGAAACATTAAATCTATTGAAAGAGAAAGTAGTTGGAAATCTTTAAGATATAGGGGTAGGTCAAGATTTCACGAATAAAAATCAAACTGCACAGGAAATATTTCAAAGTATCAACAACTGAGATCTCATCTGATTGAGAAGTTTCTGCATATCAAAAGAAATCACTAACAGAGTGAAAAGACAACCCACAAATTGAGAAAATATCTTAACCAATAATCACTCAAACAAAGATTTCTATCTAGAAAACATAAAGAACTGAAAAAGTTAGGTCCACAATATATGAAGACCCAATCCAAAAATGGACATCTGTGATAAATTCACACTTCTCAGAGGAAAAAATACAAATTTCAAATAAGTGCATGAAGAAATGTTCCAAAGCACTGGTCATTTGAGAAATGCAAGTTAAAACAACATTGAGATAAGATTTCATACCAGGGGCTGGAGAGATGGCTCAGTGGTCTAAAGCACCTACTTGAAACAAGCTTGGCAAAGCACAGGGACTGCGGTTCGATCCCCAGCACCACATGCCAGCCAGACCCGCCCCCTGGTGGGCTGAGCTGGCCACACACACACACAATAAATAAATGTAATAAATAAATAAATAAATAAATAAATAAAATATTAAAAAAAGAA